GAGTCAGGGATACCGGAATAAAACTCATGCAACAGTTCTTGACACTGCCCCCAGGACATGAAAGAAGCATCCTCAAACAGGAATGGTTACCCTTTTGTTGGTTGGGTTTTTTTTTTGTTTATTTGTTCCTACCCTCCTCCTGGAATCTATTGTCTTATTTTTACATCTTTTGATAGTCTCTTCATTCTTCTCGTACTTGTTCTGTTGATGGAAGATGGGTGGCACAGAGGTGACTGCTGCAAAACACTTTCTAGTTAATGCTGCAGCCAGTAAAGACCCTGACCTCGGCATTTCTTCTTGTTTTATGCCCAGTTTCCTTCACAAAGTTTCCAGAGCAAGAAGAAAGTTCTGGTAACAAGTGATGCATAAATAGAAAGTAATGGAAAATGCGCTGGAAAACGGTTTATTCAAAGGTGGATGCTGCCTTCGTCTTTGCTGGTGTTCAACCAGTTGGGCATTGCAGAAAACAGAGATATCGCATTAAAAACAACCAAGCGACAGGGTCATCTATGTCTCTCTGAAAAAGTCCATCTTTCTTCTACACTGGCATGAGGACGCACAAAATTCTCAGTGCTTTGCAAAACTTGCAAAGTTTTGGGAAGTTCCACCAACACGGACTTGCCCCTTATGCTCACGTTGAGGTGTGATGGTACCTCCAGTGTTTTTCCCGTTCTTTGCCCAGCACACGAGCACCTCAGCCCTGTCGGAGGTGACAGCAGGGTGGAAGGACAGCATTTCCAAACCCCGGTGGGTGCAACCAGGAACGGCGTGCAGAGGTATGAGACGGGGAAGGGTTCAGAAACTCCCACCTTGCAATTTCCAGGTACGGGAAATGCTAACAAGCTGTGGCTTGCAGCACGTGTGTCACCACCTCTGATGAAAAAAGACCTCAGATATGTATTAGAAGGGCTGCCCAGGCTCTTGGATCACTGCAACAGACCCATCCTCTGCAAACCCTCCTTGGAGACAAGGGCAGATAACATCACAATGGTTCTTGCGGGAAATACGAGGGAGAAGACCAGTATAAGACAAGTATAAAGTAATGGCATTTCTGTGCCATCTTTAGTGGAGGTGTAATTGTTTCCACTTGGCAAGGACAGAGCCTTTTGGAGGTGCCACCTGCATGGTGGCACCCAGCAGAGATCAGGGTCTCTTGTGCTCAGTGTCTGTGGTGAAGAGGGTTTGGTGCCCAAAGAGGAGAGGGAGATTCACAGAGAGAGGAGGAGGAGAAGGAGGTCAGGAAGAGGCTGCAATGGAGCCCGTACCTGAACTGTGCTCCCTGCCTTAAAGTCCTCCTTGTTGTCAGTGGTGCGGTATAGACAAGCGACAACAACCTGATGGGTTTGTCTGACGTGTCTAACAGATGCCTCCAGGTCATCACAACGAGCTGCTTCTTGGGTGAAGCTGAAATTGGAGGCAGTTGGGCAATGCTGTAAAGCGGCGATATTCCTAAAACCACTCATTACCTGCCCGGTGCCGAGGAATTGCCGACGGCCCTCAGGCACGCTGGGCGCTACTGGCTTGATCAGCCCCAGTGAGATGAGGGTCCTGGTGCAGATCTGCTGCTAGACACCCTTGGGGTGCCTGGCCTGGGGGGCAAGAGCCGGATTTTTGGTGCCTCTCATGGTTTTGAGGTTTCTCCACACAGTTTCTATGGGTACTTCAAGAGCTCAGCCATGTCTGCAGACCACAACCACCCTTCCCGAGACTCAGCAGTTCCCGGGAAATTGCATGCTGGATGTGGTCCTGAAAACCATTGTTACACCATCCAGGAGGGCCACCTTGACCTCAACTTCAATGACTTCGTGACACTGCTAACTGGGCAGGCATCAACCTTCCTGCAAGCTTGCATGAGTGCCACAGGAGTGTGTTGTGCTCCCTGGAGGGATGGTCTCCTTGGTGGGGTTGTGGGGGGGATGACGCTGAGGTTACCTCCAGGAATGCTCCTAGTGGAATGGCGTGCAGTCCCCACCATGGATGTGGTCCACAGAACAGTTTTCTGGTCCAAGCTGAGAGGGCTGGATGGATGGGCTAGAAGACCAGCAGGGGTTGGATTAATGGCCAGAAGACCAGCACAAGACTCTGCCTGAGCTCTGCAAGGGTTTTAACCATCAGCTGCAACATATACCAGCTACATTAGAGGTTTTTCTCCTTGCAGAGGAAGTTTTCTGCACCGACTGGGAAGAGCAGAGCCAGCCTAGTTTGGGGAAACACCTCCTGTTTTGCCCATCCTCAACCAGCTTTTCCCCCTTGGCCATGACATGGGTGTCCTCTGGATGCAGAATCACTTGTAAGCAGGAAAAATGCATTAAGACCCATGACAACAGCAGTTCACAACAGAACACAGCCTTTACCGCAAGAACAAGCCAGGGTGCTCTTAGGGAAAATAAAAGTTGCACACAGAAGTTTCTATCTTTATATACAGTTTCTAGTCCGTGGGAAATTCCAAGATTTAAAATTTTCTCCCTAAATCCCAATGAAAACTCAAATTTCAAAGCTTTCCCACACAAACAAGCACTTTTCCAGAGCGCTCCCTCCCAACCCTACTGAATCACTTGCTCCCCAGCCAAGATGAAACACCCGGTCGGTTTCCATCTTGGAGTTTTCCTCCAGTAAAATATTTTCACTGAAACCCTGATGGGGTCCAGCAGAGCACAAGGATCTTGTCCCTGGCTGAGCGATCTAGGAGATGTCTTGCAGCATCAGCAAACCATTTCTGGGTACTAAATACACTCTAATCCAGCTCTTTTCCTCACCGAACGCTTGGGTTTCACCATTCCACGGGTGCCCCAGCACAAGCAAGAGCAACGTGTTGCATGTGGCAGCACAGGTGGGAAGGGCAAGTGCAATGGCCAGATCCAGCCCTGCAGCCTGCCAGAGCTCCAGGAGGGCTTGGAGAGGGTCCAGCACCCTGCAGCAGTTGTGCCATGCCTGCGTGGGCAGCAGAGCTGGCTCTCTGCTCCCTTTGGGCTGGACCGAAGTGGTGCCTGCCAAGCAGCTGAACTTGTAGCTGTTTGACACGGCTGAGACATGTGAGAAGGCTTCTTGGCTTGAGCTAAAGGACTGGGAAATCCTTTCCTCTGTGGCTCCAGGATGGCAAAACCTCTAGGCTGCCCAGCTCCCGTGGTGGCTGCTTGTGCCAGGTCCCAGCCAGAGCATCGCTGGTCAGATGATGCTCAAAGGTGCTCAGGAACCAGACCTCAGAGCATGTCCCTTGGCTTCCCCAAGCAGAAACCACATCTAGCAACCAGAACATCCGTCCTGCCCTGATCCTGGGCTAAAACCTGCTGTGAAACACGGCAAACCACATGGTGACAAACCCTGCCGTGCCCTCTTCACGAATCTGCCAGCCACTTCCTTGTAAGTGTCTATTTTGAAAGAGTTTTGCAACCGTTGTCAAAAAGCATGGGGAGCCCTGCCAGGGCTCAGGTCCTCAGGGCACAACCAACTCCGGTCACCCTGAACCAGATCTTTGCTTGCCATGGCTACCAGGCCACTTGCCTGATGCCTGCATCCCTCTCCTTCCCCTCCGCAGCTCCAGCAAGCAGATGTTTGCTCAACCCCGGTGGCCTTGGGCCCAGGATGGCAGCTTGCTGCAGCCACTTCAGCATGGCTTACAGGGAGGTTCTCCCTGCAAGGAGACCTACAGAGCCAGGCAAAAGCTGGGCTAGCGCACGTTCCTGTGACCCTAAGCAATACTGAGTCTCCCTGGTCACCTTAGTGACTGCTCTAGAATTAAAAATCAAGTACCTGGGGTCTCATCCCCACTGCCTGGTGGCCACATCTGAGGGTCTAGCCATCATTCCTTTTTGGAAATCCCTGGCCCATCCCACACACCGTAACTCATCCTCATTCTTCCCCACCTCCAGGATGATAAAAATGACCAAAAGTACCATTTCCTGAAATTGCTACAAAATTCTGCAACTGAGCAGACAGTCCCTGACACCCTGTTGTGAAACGCCCCGGACCTTCTCTAGCTGTTTTGCGCATCAAAGTGCTCGTGTTGTGAAACGCAGTGGTGTCCCCACCGGTGAGGGCTGGCGTCCAGGTGGCCACTGTGTGTGGACCGGGGCTGCATCCCCCAGGAGCTTCTCTGTGTCAGCTCATCTGGAGCTCCTGGAGCTTGTCCCAGGCCTGGCCATGGCCCCGTTTTGTGTCTGAGATTAGCACCGCGTTTGGCAGGTTAAACAAACCCCCCCCAAACGAGTCAGCTGAATCAGCAGGCAGAGCATTTTAATGAAGAAGCACTGGAAAATCTCGTTTTGCTCCTGATCCAAAGCTGCTCCGAGCCAAAGTGCCTGCATCGGGTCTCTGAGATACCAAGAAACAACAATAACAACAAAAAGAAGCCACAAAGTGAGGACACAGCCCTAAAAACGTAAAAATACACCTTTCAGCCCCACCTTGGGTGGTGAGAAACCACCCTTGGCACAGGTTGTTGTTAACCTGAGGAAATGAAATGAAGTTCTTGGAGCCCCACCAGGTTGGGAACCTGCCCCATACTAGTTGTCTTTCTTAAAGAGCTGTTTGCTGCAGGCAGGGGATGGTCCCTCAGCACCAGGACACTGCCCTCAGCACCAATTCTGTCCCCATCTCCATGTCACACAGGCAACCCCGGCCATGCTGTCATTGCTGGGCTCCGTGGAGCAGTGGGACAGGGGGATGTTTTTGGGTGCACAGGACCATAGGGTGCTTGTGTGCACCAGGTCTGCAAGGATGGGGGTGCCTTGGGGCTGAGCAGTGCTGGCTCATTGGAGAAGCACAGGCATGATGCTGTGGGTCCCCTTTGCCTCGTGGCATGAAAAGACACCCCTACAGAGGGGAGTAAACCAGGTGAAATTGGACAAGTTAAGAGGAACAGACATCTGGTGGGAGATGATAGAGAATTGCAACCCCAAGAGCCAGGTGCAGAGGACCCAGGTGCAGAGGACCCAGGTGCAGAGGACCCAGGTGCAGAGGACCCAGGTGCAGAGGACCGCAGATGACCCAGGTGCAGAGACATGGAGAGTGGGATCGAGTGCACCTCCAGCAAGTTTGCTGAGGACATCAACCGTGTGGTGTGGTGAACACACTGGAGGGAAGGGGTGTCATCCAGAGGAACCTGGACAGGCTGGAGAGATGGGACTGTGTGAACCTCATGATGTTCAACAAGGCCAAGAGCAAGGTCCTGCATGTGGGTTGGGGCGATCCCAAGTACAGGACAGGCTGGGCGAGAATGGATGGAGAGCAGCACAGAGGAGAAGGACTTGGGAGTGTTAGTTAATGAGAAGCTCAACGTCAGGAGGACATGGAGCTGTTGAAGCAAGTCCAGAGGAGGCCACGGAGATGATCCGAGGGCTGGAGGAACTCTGCTCTGGAGACAGGCTGGGAGAGTTGGGGCTGTTCAGCCTGGAGAAGAGAAGCCTCCAGGGAGACCTTCCAGCACCTTCCAGTACCCAAAGGGGCTACAGGAAAGCTGGAGAGGGGCTTTGGACATGGATGCGTAGTGACAGGACACGGGGCAATGGCTTTCAACAGAGAGGGGAGATTTTGATGCGATAAGGAAGAAATTCTTCCCTCTGAGGGTGGTGAGGCACTGGACCAGGTTGCCCAGAGAAGCTGTGGCTGCCCCATCCCTGGAAGTGTTCAAGGCCAGGTTGGATGAGGCTTTGGGCAACCTGGTGTAGGGGAGGGTGCCCCTGACCATGGCAGGGGGGTTGGAACTGGATGATCTTGAAGGTCCCTTCCAACCCACACCATCTATCCTTCTGTGACACGGCCATGCCCTCGCCACCTCCCTGCCACCCAGCCAGAGTACGTGACACACCCACCTTGCAGGAAAAGCCGCAGAGGCCCCTTTTAAGGAACTTCCCGGAACCTTAAGCAACGCAGAAGTATGTAATGAAGATTGACTGGAATTGGATGAAACAGACATTTCACAACCGGTGAAGCGGCGCAGGTGCGTGGCCGGGCTATAAGAGCTGCCGCGCGCGAGACCAGCCCCACTCCAGCCTGAGTGGATCTCGCTACTTCGCCAAGATGAGCAAGGCAAGTCCAATGGTGACATGGGTGTTTAAGGTCTTTTTTTCCAGGTGCCAGTTGGGCCATTGGAGATGCAAGGACCCTCAAGGAGCCTCTTCTCACCGTGTGAGCTGCCATCAGTCACTGGCAGAGGATAACCATCTCTGCTCAGGCTCATCTGAGCACAACTTGAGAGGAGATGTCTCCTCTTGGAAGAGGTTCTCTGCAGCACAATCTGACCACCAATCTGGACATCAGATCTCATATTCTGCATCTCTACAGAGGCTTCCGCAGCACCACCAGCTATTCTGGGAGCCTTCCTCCAAGAGTACCTGACTTATAGAAGGCACATTTCAGGATGGGTGGGGGGAGAAATCAGGTCTCAGCGATTTTCTGTAGCTGCACACCCCTGAGCAGAAGGAGGCAAAGGCTGCAACTCCCTTCAGTATCCTTTGGCTGACAGAGAAAACTCAATACAAACAGCTCAAATTTATCCAAAAAAAGAGAACAACTGAACAAAACCAAGTTGTGTCCCCATCTGGTGTGAAGCAGATGGCTGTACTGGAATCTCCCTGGTTTACGTCAGACTTGCATCTATTGCAGCTCCTGATGTTATTCAGTGTAATCGTTTCTCTTCCAGATCTCCCAGACCCAGGAACC